TACATTGATGCAGCGCGGAGAAGACAAAGAAATCAACGAAAGACGGTTCTTTGCATGGGCAAGCAAAAAAGAGTACTAGGGGAGGGGGAACAAATATCCTATAGTTTTCTCTCGTTCTTGTAGGGATAAAAAATTTCCCTCTAAGTTGATTTAATCCTCTACTTAAGGTGTAACACTCCAGCCCCGAAATACGTTTTATTTCAAAAAATAAGCATATTGGTGATAGGCCCAAACTAAACTCTTGTTTAGTTAACATACCATTAATCCCAATTAAACCCTTTAATTTCATGAACCCTCGCAATAAATTCATAACCAACAATTAATTATCAAAGCTTATGGATAAAACTCAAGTTATTAACCCAAACTCTCTTCTCTTAGCACAATCGTTCAACAAAAGATTTACCTCGATTAATTAGCTACCACTTAACGTGTTTCTTTATTTATAATTATGCTTCTGAGACCTAACTGTTGTGGTTTACATATCAATACGATTGTGGTATATGTTGGACTAAATGAATATATTTGGGTTTGGTTTGCATTTTTGAAAATGTGAACTACGAATGACTTGATCCTTATTTAGGGTACGTAGGCAGTTTAACGAGATTTTAGATGCAACCATAAAATAAGTGAGATTAAACACTTCGAGAATAAATAATTAGAATGAGATTTGATCTATAAAGGAAGGTGGTGACAAAGTGTGAAAAGAAATAGTGCATTTGATATAGAAATTGTGATTGTGGACCATGGATGGAAACAAGGCTTATAAATAAAGAAACACGTTAAGTGGTAGCTAATTAATCGAGGTAAATCTTTTGTTGAACGATTGTGCTAAGAGAAGGGAGTTTGGGTTAATAACTTGAGTTTTATCCATATGCTTTGATAGTTAATTGTTGGTTATAAATTTATTATGAGGGTTCTTGAAATTAAAGGGTTTAATTAGGATTAATGGTATGTTAACTAAACAAGAGTTTAGTTCGGGCCTATCACCAATATACTTATTTTCCGAAATAAAACATATTTCGGGGCCGGGGTGTTACATAAGGTAGGCTTAAATAGGTTTTGGATGTGATTTATTTCCTTTCCTAGAAGAATCTAATTCTGAGTTCAAGTGAGAATTTGCATTAAAGTTAGAGATCTCTACACATGCTACCATTTCCTGGGAGCAGCCCAGTAGGTGTGGGGGCATTTGTGGAGTTAAAAATAATCGAGAAAAATATGAAGGCGACATATGGATTCTTGGGTGAAAAAGATGAAATTACCCTCGAGGCACACCGGAACTCCCGTGCGCAATAAGTAGATAATAACGGCTCAATCAAGGTCAAAGGTGATCAAAATAGGTATTTATTCAAAACCTATTTCATCAATCCTCATCAAATCCCCCCCCCCCCCCCCCAAACCAACAAGGTAACCCTATTTATTCTTTTCAAATTATGATCAATTACCAAAATTAATTGATCAAGTTCCTAATTAATTGATTAATTTTCTAATTAATTTCCTAATTGATTGCAAGATATTATTTTGACATAATATCTTGCAATTATAGCCAAAAACCACCATAAGTGGCCGGACCCCTTTTCTCCAAATAGGGTCGGCCACACCCCTATATATAGCCCCTCATTTCTCCAAAAATATATGTCCAATTCTCTTGCAAAATTCTCCAAATTTCTCTAAACACTTTCTCCCTTAAATTCTAACTTTGGCATCGGAGGTTTTTCGGCCAAAGCCTCCCCATTTATCGTGGGCGTGTGAGGCTCTTGGCTTTGACCTTAAGTGTTAATTGTTTTGCAGGTGTATTTTCGTCCGAGAAGGAGAAGGCGAAAATTTTCATCCACAACGATCTTATTCTATTTCCTGGAATATCACGAACTAAATTCTAAGATGCTTAACATAATTGAACTATCTTATTCTACCTTTGCTTGCCTTCACTTGAGTCCCACCAAAACCATCTTCATGGATGTGCCTTCGTGTTTGTTGAAACCCTAAAAACAATACTAATTGAAGAAAGTTAAAGTTGCAGCATAAAATAAATTGACAATATGAGAATTAGTCCTACTTTTCATAAGTTTATAGAAGGTTTGTTCTTCCATCAATATGAAATTCATTCTTAACACGCCCCCACGTGTAGCGAATTTTCAAGCCTAGCACGTGAATAATACAAACGGGGTGACGTGGAGCACGTGTGGTCATTAGGCTTGACACGTGAGACAACTTGCTTTGATACCATGAAGAAAATTGGGGTTTCATCATAAAACCAATTGGTACTATTTACGAAAAGTGGCCCAATTTCTTATAAGCGTAGCAAGATCATTTCTCCTATCAATGTGAGATTTATCCTCAACAGTAATACATGTACACATAAACCCTAAAAACAATTACTAATTCTCAAACCATACGTTATATACCATTAGGTGTCTATATATAGTCTAATAAGTTTAAATTATGATTAGTAGCTTATTAAAATAGTTACTTGATGAACACTATATAATAAGTTGACCACAAAAACATTCTAATTTGATTGATTTTTCCTGCTAAAATGGACAATCCATGATTAGAATAAAATGAGATTCATGCAGCTGGTTAATTATTAGGACAGTTAATCTTACGGTCCCAACTGCCACGAGGCAAGGGTTTGGTGGAGCAATCGAATTCGAGGGTGACCAACTATTTGGAACAAGCACCGCAGCAATGACCTCCTCCCTTAATCCTTATCATCAGGAACCACCAAAACCGTCCTTTTGGGGGCTACTTTTTCTTCACACCTCCAGCTATTTCCTGCACATCCTCCTTCCTTAATCCTTATCATCAGGAGCCACCAAAACTGTCCTTTTGGGGGCTACTTTTTCTTCACACCTCCAGCTATTTCCTGCACACCCATCACCCAATGGTCCATCATAGAGGAAAAGTTCCGGATCATAGAGGTAAAGATACTCGCCAGGTCATTTTTCTAGAGATATTTGAGATTCTATGATCATTAATCATACATCGTGCGATCAATTTTTGTTAAGTATTATTTATATTCAATTTTAAAATTTAAATTTTGAAATAATTTCTAATCGCACGATGTACAATGAACGGTCACAATCACAGAATCCTAGGATTCTCAAGACAAGGATCCGTCGTAGAAACCCTTGAAACCCTCCAACCCTAAATACTACGATACCCTTCAAACTCTATACGAAAATTATTTGGTATCATGTATCAAATTTTGTTTCTTTCCTTTTTTTCATTTATCAAGATATAAAGAAGCAACTAGGAAAAGGAATTATCCCTACTCAGCTTGGCAAAATAATTTCGATGATGCTACCTACAGTTCTATTCAGATTGCTCTGATTAATACTTTCAGTGGGGAGAATATTGAAATTTGGCCAAAGACCACAACCACAGAGCAAATTCAATGATTTTGAATGACCAAGTTGCATTCGTGAAAATTCTAACATGTATAGCACCAAAAGAGAACTTTTGTCATTCTGTCGATATTTTGTGTAAATTTGTGGCTTGTCCAATTCATATTCGTATTTTCTTTCGTTGATGTGGTGCACAATATATACTATATAAGTTTTTATCTTTAGACCATTGGCCTAATACAACCTATCCAACAAGCTAAAGATGCAATTGCCTAAACTTGTAATAACCCATTCATCCAATAAAAGATACTCGTAATAATCCATATGGTGGAGGAAAATGGAGAAAATGTCGAATTATACAATTTTCCCAAACACAAGACTATAAGACCAATGGTAATCTACGTAATTTATGAGCACTTTTTTTTAACCGTTAGATGTGACGAATTTATTCTATATTTAAGATATAAAAGGGTGACTACCACTAAATGTTAATATAAAGGTTGAGTTATATGCTTGCATTGCTCTATGGCAGCGATCCAATGGTCTGGAAAGAGTGTATAGTTTCCCTCTTTCTTTTGTTTTCTTGATACAGCATGAATTTCTCTTTGCAAGTTAATGCGTATGCATGCCAAGGGATAAGATATAGCAATCTGTATTATTATTTCTTACTCCGTTTAGCTTTTCGTTCATATGTCTTTCTTTTTTCTTTTTTTCTTTTGTCAAAAACTTTCGTATAAGTCAAAAACAGTGTCTAAAAAAATTGAAAGTATCCTTTCAAAGTTGATTGGTAAAAAATTGTGGAAAGTCGGCCAATTACAATGGAAATTTTAAATCTGAACTTACAAGTTTAAGTTGTTTTACGTAAATAAGTGAAAAATTTTAAATTTGATTATTGATGATATTTATGTAGATAATATAGCATATATTAAAAAAAAAAAACTCAACATGTTATATTAGTGACTGAACAATGTTATAAAAGTTCAAGAGAATAATTGAATAAAATTAAAGTTTAGAGAAGAAATTAGCAGCTCTTAACAAATCGGGAGAAGAAGAAAAATCGATGACTACCTCAACAATTTTTCAACAATGTATGAGCATATGTTCTAAAATTAATTATATTTGTATATATATTGAGAAGGAAAAAGGTGAGCCGTTTGTGAGCAAAATACCAAAAAGAATTTGGTGCCCTCTTTAAAGGGTAACCTGAGACCAAACCAAGACCTCATGTTGCGCAGACATGCAGGCCCTCCAAACGAAGGAAACAAAATTCATGGTCTCTTTCTGCATTTGGGTTACTTGAGAAGGCGGCACATCATCCATCCTAAAGAGGTTAAACATCATCAATGTCAGAAGTTTCCCATTTGATCACTCACAGTAATGTTAGCAATTGAACAAAATCTGCAGATTCAAATTCAATTCCACGAAAAAACAGCTCCACAAAATCGTCCTAACACGTGTACGACAATGATGCAGGGATGGACTCACTCAACAACTTCAGATTTTGATTGATTGATTGATTGATATTATTGGTCCATCCATTTATCATATCTCATAATATTTTATATGTTCGAGTCAAGTTAACATCAATATTATGGAATTACGTGTTTGATAAATAATAACCCAGGTCAGGGGTACTTTGGTAATTCCAATTCCCTCTCCGATTGCATTTTGCTCTATTTATAAGAAGGGGGTGGGGGCGAACCCGGATCATGTTCTCATAACTCCAGAGACCAAAGGGGATCTCTCCTTGTAGCTAGTAGTCTTCTTCTACTCTCAGCTCATTCCTTTTCTGTCAAATAATTGAGAATAAGGTATGGAGCGATTACTTACCTGCATTTGCATGTTTTTCGTTCGATGTTCATTTGGACTTACAAAATCTCAAATTGACAAAAAATAACGGTTAAATTACTACCATGTTAAGTATATTACGATGCAAAATGAACCCAACCATATATCTTTTGATCTAGTGTTTCATTGCATTTTGATTTTAAACTTACATAAGTAAACTATGATGCTGGCAAACTTATTTTCTTCTAAATCTAGATATTTAATTTGTTTATATACATACTAAGGACATATATAGAAGATCAATTTATGATTAGGTTTCTGTATATGAACCATGCACCCCTACTTTTCCCTCTCCTCTCCATTTATCTAGTGAAGCCCCAGAAAGTTTTCTCTCTTTAAACTTCCAACAAGACATCATAAATGCTCCTACCCTAAAGTTCCCATGAGGTAGATATACACCTACCTCATCAAAAAGTTTACAAAAAAATGGTGCTTCTGGTTTCCAAATTATAAACCCGTGTAATTTTATCATCACATTCACTCATTGAGTAAAGGTACATCTCGTTTTTGGTCAATTATATATCACCTGCATACACAAGAAATTAACTAAATTTGTACTTATTGTTTTGGTGAAAGATGGAGAAACCAAATTCATCTGGGTTGGCAAGGACCAAGTCCGAACAATTGGTGGAAACTATAGCATCGGCGTTCAAGTCACCTCCGTCAGGCGATGCCACTTCAACTGTTGAAGGCGGATCAACCCTATCGAGGAAGTCAAGCCGGCGCATGATGGGGGCGTCACCGGGGCGTGGTAGTGGCAGTGCTGGAAAAAACACACACATTAGGAAGTCTAGGAGCGCCCAAATGAGGCTGGACCTCGATGAGATCGGCAGCGGCGCTGCCTTGAGCCGCGCCTCTAGCGCCAGCTTAGGGTTTTCATTCTCCTTCACCGGTTTCACTGTGCCCGCTGAGGATATCGCCGACTCAAAGCCTTTCAGCGACGATGATGATTTACGTAAATACTTAACACTACAGTAAATTTCATGCAAGTGCTTAGTAATTTTCACACACAATAAAAAAAATAAAAAATAAAAAAAGGTCTCAACAATCAATTAATATAGTCCATGCTCTTCACCCACATGCATATATCGATTAAAAATACTACAAGTTGAGGAAAATTTACAAATTAGTTATTTACTTTTGATCTGTGTGCGGTGTGCATATGTATTATGTATTCACATGTTTTTGCATTTAATATTTTTTTGGCTATGTTTGTTATTTTTATTTTGTAAATTTATGGTGCATGTTACTCTCCACTCTCCTAACCTTTATTTCCCAACATGTGACTCCACTCAATAAAAAATTTAATTCAATATTAATTTCCGGGTTTTATATATAATATTTTCGATTTGAATAAAGTATAATATAAGTTGAATATAGATGTATAAATAATGTTATTATTAACAATTCAAACGATTATTCTGAAATCTTTTGTGTAAACATAAGTAAGGAATTTCACTTAATAGAATATAGGACAATTTTTTTTAATTACCATTTACAACTTCCGATAAATGCAATATCTGTTTTGACATTTGGGTCATTTTACAAAGTGTTAAGCTAGCTAAATGAAGAGGATGGTGTCTGAGATTGATTGGTGAGTCCTAGCTAACTAGGATAGAGAAACTATCTAAAAGCAACTCTAATGATACATAACATTGAGTGATATAAAAATATAAGACACAAAAATCCACATGGCACGTAGCATTGAAACACCAAAAGTGAGCTTTTGATTGGGGCGTTCACTTGGTAGCTAGAGAGAAAGAGGCCACGGAGGCAGCTTGTGAACAGTGCTTTACAATGAATTGGAAATGTGAATTAGTTAGCGCCACTGCTCCCAGAAAATAGGAAAACTTTGTCTTCCTCCCACACACTGATTAAGAAATCTTGCCTACAAAAACAAAGGGCAATTTTCATTTTCTTACTTTTGAAATTCTCACTTTGTTACTCTTAATTATTTTCATGTCTAAAGTAACGTCTTTTTTCTTCTTAAAATCATACATATGTTAGTCTAGCAGTTAAGTCATCTGTTAAATGATGATGTGGTGCATGACTAGACATTGACTGTGTAGAAATGTGACCTTGTGGGCCCCACGTGGACATATAAAACAATTGAAAAAAATTAGAACTTTTTTTTTTTTTTTTTTTTTTACAAAGTGAGAATTACCGAAAAAATTGAAGAAGAATACATTAATTCAATTTAACATTTTACATGAAACTGTTTCCTTTAGAATTACATAAAATTAAGTATTAAGTCTTGTTTTGTTCAAAACAAAAAGTATTAAGTCTTGTATTGTTTGTGTAACTATATTTTCCAATTTTTCCTTGTTTTACTTCTCTTTGAAACGTTAGGATTGGATTGAATTGAGAATCGACTTCATGTTTTTTACTAGAACAAAAACTAGTCATATGTGGGTCCCAAATATTGGTGAAATGAGACTAATCTTATACCTAAATAAGACTTTTGTTCTAAAGAAGATGCTGAACACTAAAATATTAAATTTAACATTAAGTTATAGTTTAATAGAAAATATACTTATATATTATTGTTAAAAACAAAAAAAACAAGGATAAGATAGATATATTTTTTTAACTCATTATTATTAATGAAAAGGAAAAGGGTTCGAAAAAGTTAAGTGCAAACCGAACTAGATTATGAAGGCCTTCAAACTCTGCATAAAAATTTTTCTAGCTGTAATTTGTGCCTCTTTCCAAACACAGGTTCATCATCTAAGGAAGAAATGATTATTGCATTCATAAAATCAAGCATTATAAAATGTTGATACTACTCAAAAAAGAGTAATGTTAGGGAGAGTAAATTTTTAGACAAAATTTTGTAAACTAAATGATATATAAGTTGATGATTGAATTATTACTTATGCATTGAGAAACGTGATCATTCATTTTGGTGACACATCATTTAGTTTGCAAATTTTGTCAACAAATTTAGTCTCCCTAACATTAACCCTCATAAAATCATCTAAACAATGTTTATTGCTTGTGGCACAAGTAAGCACTGTTTTTTACACTTTAGTATTCAGCTGCTACCAGTGAAATAATGCTAATTAATAACCAAAAAAAAAAAAAAAAAAAAACCCTTATTATTCAATGTGTATTGCAGGAGAAGACCTTGAAGCTGGCGTCACCAGGAAGCCAAAATTCCAAACAGAACCCACACTGCCATTATATCTCAAGGTTTTTCTTCCTTTCAAGTATTTACGTACAAGTTACAAGCTTACGAGTTGCTATGTTTTCCATGTATGCTTTTCTTCTCCCTTTTTCTCCCAAAACCCTTGCAATATTTGCAAACTGCATCTGCCGGTGTACGATTCAAAAACCTGTTCGTGTTCAACCTTAGCGTCGAAGAGAAATTGATGTGATACTTACTGTATTTGGGCAGGCAAGGATGGAGATTGATCATCTAGCTAAACACATCAAAGGGCGGTCCATAGAACATGGCTAGCATTATATTAGTATGGTCAGGTTCAGTTTTGTACAGAAATTCATTACAAGTCTTGCCCCTTGTTTCCAACCCAAAAAAGGTGCTACATATTCATCATATAACTAAATCACATAATCTACTTTTATCTAGGGTTCTAGAACTAAGGCGAATCGCGGGTTTTACACCCTTCAAAAACTAGTTTAGAAATCGGCATTGATTAGGATTTAGGGACACCAAAAGCATCAAAGGAAAGAAGGGTATGGACAGTCTGTTTGTTAGCGTTCTGGAAAAGGAATTAATTCCTTATCTTTCGACTTGGTAATAAATTCGAATCATTAATATAAGTAACTAGTTAGGAATCCTAGTAATGAAGGCTAAATCTTGCTGTTGTTTATTTATCTCAGTTCACAGATGTGACATACAAGGTCATTTTCAAAGGAATGAGGACAGCTGAAGAGAAGGATATCTTGAATGGGATTACTGGTTCGGTTAACCCCGGTGAAGTTTTGGCCCTGATGGGACCATCAGGAAGTGGAAAAACCACACTCCTTAATCTTCTTGGGGGCAGGGGAAGCCAAACCAATGTTGGCGGTTCAATTACCTACAACGATCAGACATATTCCAAGCACCTAAAGAGCAAGTATGAATCTGGAACCAAAATTTTTCACCTTGATAATACTGAGTAAAATGTATAGGAGAAACAGAAACTATGTGGATAGGTGTTATAATGATCATGCATAATGACATGAAACATATGGCAGGATAGGGTTCGTGACTCAGGACGACGTTCTATTTCCTCACCTTACAGTGAAAGAGACATTGACATATGCAGCCCTCCTACGACTGCCAAAGAAATTGATGAAAGACCAGAAGGAAAAACGAGCGATAGAACTCATCTATGAGCTAGGCTTAGAGAGGTAAGTTCTCCTTCTACCGGTTTCTGTTGGATTTTGGGATTCCTTTGGGTATTGTCATCAATGGAATACCTGAATGATAGATATAGATATGACGAAGACTATTTTAGGAACTACCGATTTTGTTAGTAGATTAAAAATCCAACCTGCAAAAATTCTTGATATGCACAGGTGTCAAGACACTATGATCGGTGGCTCCTTTGTCCGTGGGGTATCGGGTGGAGAGAGGAAGAGAGTTTGCATTGGCAATGAGATCCTAATCAACCCTTCCCTTCTGTTTCTGGATGAACCAACTTCCGGCTTGGATTCTACAACTGCATTGCGAATCGTTCAGATGTTACAAGACATAGCAGAGGTATGCAATTAGAATAGACATTCACAGACGCCAATGGTGTACTAGTAATATGAACACAAAGAAAAAAGTGAACTTTATTTGTATTGCAGGCTGGCAAGACTGTGGTGACAACAATCCACCAGCCATCAAGTCGACTCTTCCACAAATTTGACAAGTTGATCCTTCTCGGGAAGGGAAGCTTGCTCTACTTTGGAAAAGCATCAGAAGCAATGGTGTATTTCTCATCCATAGGATGTTCTCCACTTATTTCCATGAACCCGGCAGAGTTCTTGCTAGACCTTGCAAATGGAAATTTAAACGATGTTTCTGTACCATCCGAATTAGAGGATAAAGTGCAAATGGGAAATTCAGAAGCAGCTGATACGAGAAATGGAAAGCCATCTCCAGCAGTTGTGCAAGAGGTAAATCTTACGAGACACGAGTGATTTTTGTTAACAAGAGATGGAAAGTATACTTATATGGTGTTTCTATTTGGAAGCAGTATCTTGTGGAGTGCTACGAGACACGAGTTGCAGACAAGGAGAAGAAGAAGATTATGGTTCCCCTTCCCCTCGATGATGAACTGAAGTTGAAGATTTCATTTTCAAAGCGAGAATGGGGAGCAAGCTGGTGGGAGCAATTTTCTATCTTATTCTGTAGAGGAATTAAAGAAAGAAGGCACGACTACTTCAGCTGGTTGAGAATCACTCAAGTTATCTCCACCGCAATAATTTTGGGCTTGCTCTGGTGGCAGTCAGATGCCAACGATCCCAAAGGCCGGGAGGATCAGGTAAATTCTTCTCTTGTCAAATCAATAAAAGTTAACTGACCCGTTCAATAAGTAATGTTTTGATTGACCGTCGCACTGAAAACTCTCTCCCTTGATACTCAAACCATCCTCAATTTACATCAAAAGGAAACCACCACTTAACAGAAAGAAGGCCACTTCGTGGAGTATACAATCAGTTCTAAACGTACAAACTTAACCCTAAATTGCAGGCAGGGCTTCTTTTCTTCATGTCGGTCTTCTGGGGATTTTTACCCGTCTTCACAGCAATCTTCACATTTCCTCAAGAAAGAGCAATGCTGATGAAGGAACGATCGGCTGACATGTACAGATTAAGTGCATATTTTGTTTCTCGGACCACAAGTGACCTCCCACTTGATCTAATGCTACCAGTTCTGTTCCTCGTCGTTGTATATTTCATGGCTGGCTTAAGGTCGAGTGCTGAAGCCTTCTTCCTAAGCATGCTTACAGTTTTCCTCTGCATTGTGGCTGCGCAGGTATGCCTATTTTCAGCTACTAGTTGAGAATATTCTATGAATATTTGCACTACCATACGTAACTAATTACAAATGGATTTGAAATAGGGACTCGGACTTGCTATAGGAGCTACGTTGATGGACCTAAAGAAAGCCACAACTCTTGCTTCGGTAATTGTGATGACATTCATGCTTGCTGGAGGTTTCTTTGTGAAAGTAAGCACACAATCGTCTATTAAAAGCCTATATTTTGTCAACAAATGCATCAGTGAAAATTACAATTCATAAGATGGAAATTATTAAGAGTCTAACTCAACATGTTATTCAAAATGTTGTAGAAAGTTCCGGTGTTCATATCTTGGATTCGCTATTTGTCTTTCGACTACCACACATACAGGCTTCTTCTTAAGGTGCAGTACGAACACATCACACCGACCATTCACGGGTTAAGCACAGACTGCGGTTTAAGAGAAGTTGTTGCCCTTATAGCCATGGTGTTCGGATACCGGTTCTTGGCATACCTTTCTTTGCGGAGAATGAAGCTTCAAGGCGGGGCATAGAACTCAAGGAAGCCTACATCTTTTAAAAGCTATTGTCTAAAGCATGAGTTTCGATATTAACTGAGGAAAACCAGTGAGGTTCCACTGATCTGCAATGTATGCCTTCTCTGTTCTAAGAAGTTTGTTAAATTTATCTCATGCAAAATGTAAAAAATCAGATAGATTGGTTAGCTGGCTAATTGCCAAAACACCATATCGAGAGAGAGACTTTGGAGTTGTTTTTTTGGAATATGTAAACTCTAGGTAACAGTGGGATTCATATCAGAAACTGTACTTTGTATGTCAATTTTAATCGATGAAAACTCAGTATGATTTTACTTGACTCATGAATGAACTTTATTGAACTACCGGATATGTTTTGCGTTCAAAATGCTAAAGCTTTGTTTCTGCGAAACGATTAATTAAGTAGGTAACCAAGAACTTCAAACTAAATTAAATTACCTCAAGCTGTCACCCCATGTTAAACAAAATTAACCAAAGGTATTCCCCTGGTAGCATTTTATAATATGGTTTTGGCAAAGAACCCGTCTGAAAGCCTTTTTCCGATGGTCCGACCTTCATGAACACCAAAATAACATAAACAAAATCATCTTTCGACAAATATAAATACTATTATATTTGCGTCACGGGATGATCCCCGCGTGCAGAGGGAGGACTGGAAAGTTTGTGTAAAGCATATAGTTTGGAGTTGTCTTTTTAGGCATTCAGCGTCCTCTCCGCCGGCCTGCTTAGCGAGGAAGCCATCTTCCTTGGGGTCAGTGAGGACTAAGGAGGACAGGACAAGAGCTTCCACTCAAAGAGGAAACCCCAGCGGAAAGGTCAACTAAGAACTGGCACCTCTGCCCTGAAAAACTATGATGTTAGTAACATTGTCCCTGTAAACAAAGAATAGATACATTTCGCTAAGGACTCTGCAATTCCACCAACACCACCAACAGGGTGGTTAGTGCAACCAGAATGCTTATCACACGTAACCTGTCGAAAACATAAATGAGGAAACAAGAGGAAAAGCGCAAGATATGGCCCAAAAAAATGGATAACCCATCACGTAAGCTTTGAAATCACAGACAACAGGTTAGTGTTAGGAAACAGAAGTGCAATAAACCTCGCGACGAACGAACCCAAGCACAAGAAGAATAACAATCATCTAAAAATATCGTTTTATTTTTGATCTTTTCAAGTAACTGCATCAGATTCTATTTAGGACTGATATCTCAAAACTTTGAGGGTTTCAATATTGTCATCTGTATCAATGACACCAGTGCTGCAATCAATTGTTCTACCTCCCCACGGTGTTGCGATCAAAACTTGGACTCCAAGCTTCCTCTATTCCCCCTCCGTCATCCACAATCCCATAAGCGGTTGGAGCAAACACCTCGTGGGTTTCAGCAAGTAATTGCTCTGTGAAACTTGGACTCCAAGCTTCCTCTTGTACTGCTCCGTCGACAACAATTCCAGAAGCAGCAGGCGAAGGTACTTCTAGGGTTTCGGCCTCTGACATACTTGGAATCCAAGGTGGCTCGCCTACTGCTCCATGATAATATCATGAGTAGTGATCACATTCACATGTTGTGAATACGACCCTAATTTCTATGATCCCACTCCATCCTCTTTCTTGACCTTTTTCTTTTTGTTTGTGCAGCGCTTGCGCTGCTTCTCCGAATTCGAAGTCGACTCAGAAATGTGACAACCGGTCAACTCAGAAATGAGTCTTATGATCGTCAATAATTTTAGTAAAGGGTAAGTAGGTCAAACAACTGGAAGATTGAAATTACATGATTTTAAAATATTTAAGTCCATTTGTTCAACAACAGCAAGTGGCCAAGTGGTGAAGGCACGGATTGTGGTTCTCTAATAAAACAAAGAAAATGCAAGAGGTTCTAGGCTAGATGATTCGAGCTGATGAGTCTACTTGATTGTGGCCACGAATAGGGTGAAATTCTTCATAGCCTTTCCAGGTCTAGAAAGGATAGATAACCGTAACTTACCACCAATTGTCTCCTTTCTTTTTTCTTTTTTCTTTTTTTAATTTTATTTTAAGTGCATGTGTTTGAAAAAAAAAAAAATTAGTGCAATATGTGAGAAACTTGAAACTTACTGCTCATTTTGAAAACCACTGTGAATCTAGATGGAGTAAATTGTAATTAGCGCAATTTTTTTTTATTTACTTTTTTTTTTTTGAATTGTGGGGATGCAACACGAGGACTTCCCAGAATGTCATCCATCCTAGTATTACTCTTACCTAAACTCATTTAACTTCGGAATTCTGATGAGATCTAATGCATGTGAGTTATAGTGTTAATGAGTTAAATTGTTAAATGTTAGGAAGCTTTCCCCAAAACCCTTAAAATTAAGCTAACAATGGAGATTCTAAAGAAAAAAAAAATATAAATCGATCCACCTTCTGCCAACAAATTTTGCAATCTTGAGATAAAGTATCCCAAGAAAAATGGGAGTTCTTTTTATTTTTATTTTTTTCTTAAAAAGGGAACAATTGGTGGCAAACCATGGTTATCCATCCTTTCGGGGGGGTCGGGAAGACTTTCATCCGAAAAAAAATATCTTAAGCTCTTTCCCAACTAATGTGATCAAGTCTTCAAGGAAGCCTAGATCAATTAAAAGAGGATCGTACACGCATTTTCACTTGTCACACAACTCTCAATTTTTGACCGTTGGATTAAATGAATCGAAGAATATCAAGGGCCAAAAATTAACAAGGATATGTGAGAAGTAAAAATAGGTGTGTGAATAAAACTATCCTTAAATGAATGAGTTTCAAGTTAACTAATCTGGAACTTGCACTCTCCGTTCTAAGAAGTCGTAAAATTTATCAGCTAACAGACTTGGCAGGAAAGGATTATACTTCATACAGCACGGAGACCACTGTACAGTTTCTCTATAGCTCATGTATAAACTATATGACAGATACCGCGTACATACGCGTCTACCTGCTACACAAGAATGCTACTTACAAGCAAGATATCTACCCGCCATTCCAGCCAAATGACCACAATGATCTTATATTATCCCATCGAAAATCGCTGCTAAATAGTATGGATGATATATATCCCAACTGCTGTTAGAGCTACCGTGGTATGTGATAAAGAAGATAATGCATCTGCAGCCAAAATGCCAAGCTGCATTACATATTGTCCTGTATGAAGTCCTCACGCTAATGTCCTTAACCATCCGAGTAGTCGAAGGAGGGCAGCATCCAATACTGGGGACTTCTTCTCAAGCCCTGCCAAAGAAATAAAAAATTGAGGAAATGAAATAAATAAACCAACATAAAAGCTCTAAACAGTTCTACACATCAAATCAGCTATGGATTGCTGCATTTGAACTCCTTCTGTTCGCTCCTTAATCACCCGATGCTTTTTTTTGTTAATGAAAATATACTGTTACCCTTACCAATACTTTAATCCCACATCTTTTTACTCTAATTTCCTATGCTGTAAAAAGAAAAGACTGCCCATCAAGACCAAACTTGGCAGGCTTTTTTCTAGGGACGAGGAGAAGGTAGGAGGTGCCCATGATCTTTTGGTTCAGAAAGAGGAGCTGCCAGTGGCGCCTTTGTTCCATTAAACTTCTTTTCAAGAGTAAAATCAGATTACAAAAGCAACCCCAAAAGGGATTAAAAAACACTGAGAAAATACCAATATCAGCGGCTACTCGATGAGCACACATTACTCCTGAGAAGGATACGGCTATAACTCCTTGTCCCGGAAAGCAGCTATCACCAACACAGTAAAGACCATCTATGGCCTGCATTTTTATCATCGCATAGCACACCTAGTTTAGTATGCTTAAAATCAATGACTACTAGTAAAACATCCATTTGATATTGCAACTGAACTTACGGTTGTATTGAACGGCATTCCCAATAATCCCTTAGGAGTATTACGCGGTATTGGTCCGTAAGTACCCTTGTCACGAGCCAGGTATCGCCTGTGTGTCTTTGGTGTTCCCACCTGCCAAGATTGGAGAAGCTTTCAATGATCATATCAAATTGTGTAAACTAAAAGTTGTGGAATTCTAAGAATCCTAAGCATACCAAAGTATTCACCCACAGAAGGGAATATTTTGTGGAATCAGCTTAGTTAAGCTCATAGAAAGCAGGGAGCCTAAAAATTCAAATGCCCCTTAGGAGGAACATTTGTTAAGTTAAAGAAAATAAACATGCATTTAATAAATATATAAGTTCTAGGGAGAGAAGTGCTAAGCCCTCAAACATTTTTTTCTAATTTCCTCCCATCTTCTGCTCTGTCTCTCTCCTTTCCATGTCACAAGGATCACAACCTTAACACTATTTCAGATATCTCAACTGCGTGAGTATAGATTAGAAGTGAATAGGGTACAATATTACCTCCTTAAAAGCAATGGACGATTTGAGCCCTGGAAATAGTTTATTCTCTAATCTGTGAATGATTTCATCTGCTACAAGCTCCTTCTTTGCCTCATAGTCCTTTCGAGACAGTCCCTATAAAGAAATCTCCACCTCATTGGTTACTCAAGTTACAATTACAATGTAAAAGGAGGGGCTGGCTACAGAAAAAGTGGAGAAGGAATCAATGTAACTTTGACAACAAATGGTTACCTCCCAGTCCTCTATGGAAGAGGTTGTAAATATGTGAAGAATATGGCGTCCTTCTGGGGCCAATGATGAATCAAGAACAGTTGGAATGCTTAAAAATATACTTCCATAAGGTTCTTCTAACCTCGTCCAATCATCCTGAAAAACATGCAAGACAATGAAGAAAAATGAGCAAAAACATTCCTAGTTCAAAGCCCAAAAACGTTTCCTAGCAAATGATGGTACTGAAAAGGAAAAACAAAAGTACCTCAAGCACAAAATGGTGGCAATCTGTTTCTGGTGGCAAAACCTCAGCTTTCACCCCCATGTGAATGGAAAGAAAAGATGGGGCCTTAACATAAACTTTCTGAAAATCTTCCTCTTGTTTCGGGACCTGGTCTGCTTTTATCAGTTTTCCTAAAATAAAGTTGAAGGTGATTAGACTTCCTTTAAACGAGCTACATATAACAGTGCAACATTCGGCAGCAAACAACGATCATCCAATAAATTAACTGCTGGTCGCACTAACCAAAGGTATTCCATCTTGTAGCATTTGATATTATGGTTTTTGCAAAGAATTCCCTCCCGTCTGAAAGCCTTACTCCAACCTACACGCACACTGAAATAACATAAACAAAATTATCTTTGACAAATATAAATGAAGCAAAGAATAGATATCTTTGCATAACTAATCCAAGACTAAATTTGAACTCACCGCTCTGCCCTGATCAACTATGATGTTAGTAACATTGGCCTTGTAAAGTATCTCACTGCCCTGGTCTACCAGACCCTTTGCTAAGGACTTTGCAATTCCACCAACACCACCAACAGGGTAGTTAATCCCACCATAATGCCTATCACACATAACCTGTCGAAACCATAAATGACAAGAGGAAAATACACAAGGTAGTACCCAAAGAGCAACTTGAAAATCTTACCATGCTTGCATTGATCATTGGTGTTTGCAAAGCCTTGACTGTACTCACAATAAAACACTGGATACAAATGTAAAATTTTTTATGAGATGGAGTGGAAGGAAGACCATTCGTAGACCACCAAAGATGAATAAATTTACAAATGATATAAAATCGTAAATACGAATTTCAATAGGATCGAAAAACCCACCTCCGCATCTATGAAAGACAACAGCTGGGGGTCCTGAATGTATTTGCGAGCTATATCCCCCGCATTTTGAGGCAAATAGTAGGCTGCAATAGTTAGCCCATCACGTAAGCATTTGAAAACACAGATAACAAACCGAAGTCCTAGACTAAAAGTATCAATTTCTTTTTCTGTTCAAGTGACTGCATCAATAGATCTCATTAAATAACTGCAAGCATCGATCAATTAGGGATTCAAAATTTTCCCATTTTCAACTACTTTAACCAATAATTTAATCCTATGGACATAATAACTATAACGTTGCCCCGAAAAATATCCAAGGTAAAGCTGGAAAGACAAACCAAGGGCTAAATTATATCTTGCACAATGACTCGAATTTAGGTTTGAAAATTCATTGCAGTGAAGAAAATATACAAAAAAAAATGCTTACCAAGTGTCAAGCATTCAACAGGCTTTTGAAAGAACTGTCCAAAAAGGTAGATTGGCTCCTCAAGTGACTTCAGTTCCAATGAGTTCAAGGCATTGAAAATCTATACATATGTACACAATGTATTAGTGTCAGTTCGGAATTACACGTAAAAATATCCCAAAGGAACTCCCAGTCAACTTGAAAAGTAAATGAAAAAAGAAAAGAACAGACCTTCCAACATACACCATAGAATTTGAGAATCCCTTGCTTTTCATGGGGAAATTTATTAGTAAGTTCTGAAACAAATTCACTGTATTCTCTGTGCACTACGACAGAAAGATTATCAGGTAGATGGTAATGGACAGTAGTCGGATCAGGTATCACCGGCATCTCACAACCTACAGCTGCCAGTGCTTGGGTTATCAAATTTAGATTGCCCTGCCATATTACAAATTCAGTGATAATAGTTCATGAGAAAATATCAAAACTGACAAAATGCAGGCCTCACTGAACCATGACAGATGCAGGACAAATAAAAGTTCTTCAACCAATACAAAATGCCAGCAAGATGGAGTTCATGCTTAGAAAATCAGAACCGCATGCCATTACCAAAAGAAATAAAATGTAAAGTTATACCAAAATATACAACATACACGACAGTTAATTATCTTTTACATATTTGCAGACCACCTTGCTGTAAATTTAAACACTTTCAGTTAATGACTACTTTCCGATTCAGACATGTGTCTGCCCTTGGACAAATCCCTCCTTTTTTCCCCGGAGTCCTTAAGCTCTATATGTCACTTGTTAACTAACTGTAGCATGTCTATGGGAAATACTGTAATGAATGTCTGCTGTTACATTCCCATGCGTACAAGTTTCTACAAGGACACAACGCTCTTCGTGGTAGTAACTCCCAACCTCCAATAAGTTTCCACGAGTTCTTTTGATTAAGAAAAGAAATTCTTCAAACTTCTGCACAATTATTTCTGTCACAGATATCGAGCTACTTTCACAGAGAGTCAAAATCATAGCGCAAAGTAACTTTTCAATCAGTCAAGAAAGAGCCACTGATAACAATGTGTAATATACAATGAATTATTCGAAAGAGAGGACTAATCCTTTCTACTTTTAGTGATGTTTTTTTCCTTTCAGTAGGATAATAATTTTTTTACTTGTTTTACATGATTTATGACGGACAAGATTTTTGATATATGGAATAATCAAGTTATATTCGACCATTTTCAACTCAACTCATATAGCTATCAAGTAAACCGCAATGTATGCAACGAAAAATCAAAACTTTACACGAAAGCTGACCTTATCGCTGAACCCGAACATCACAGAAGATCCAACATCAAAAGTATAACCATCCCTCTCATAATACCCAGAGCTCCCACCAGGGATCACATACTTCTCCAAAACCAAAACCTTTGCACCCTTCACAGCCAATTGTGTTGCTGCAACCAACCCTCCAATTCCTGACCCTATAACAATGGCATCATAATTTTTCTTAGCGCCACCTTCCTCCCTTTCCACCTCTTTCTCCACACCCAATGTCGAACTAGACCTCACAACGAAACTAAAATTCCTCGAATTCGCCTCCTCCAACTCCAATTCCACTCTCCCATGCATGTGCCTACTAAAATCTGAACCCCCCAAATGACTCCCTTGAAACAATTTGCTTCTGCAAAACCCTAAATCCAATCCACTGAGCTTGCAATCATTAGTAAGTGAGCTTCTACCATGCCCAAAGGAGAGAACATTGAGTTTTCGGCTTCTGGGTCCGACTCTACCCAACTGCAAATTACATCCATGGCCAAAAGCTTGAGAACTCTGAGACCCCAATTGGACTCCGCAGAGGCTGACGCCATTTCCCTGAGAGCCATGCTGCTGAAAACTGTCATTTTGAACTCTGGGTTTTGAAGAACTTAACTTGGTGATGCAGTGGCGACTGGGAAACTGATAAATCTCCATGGAAGGAGAGAATCCAAGCTCAGGTATGGAAAGTGAGTGGGAAAAGCGCATTTTTTGTATTTGGTAGGGAAAGCTGTGGTGGGAGAGGTGGTGATATATGGAGCTTGTTTTGCTGGGTTTTGTAGGCTGAATTCAATTGGAATTGGGTTGTGATTCCACTTCAGGATTCCTGGAGAAGATGGGACAAAGGATTTTTACTATTGGTGAATGGGACAAAGTGGGTGGTTTGTTCATTTTGCGCTTTGTTGGCACATGGCCGTTAACAAGTTTAGAATTTGGTGAGTGACCTGTTTAAATATTTATTTTTAGGAAATACAATTATTTATTTATTTTTTAATTTTTAATACAACAATCTTACAGGATAATTGGGATAAGCCACGTAACGAACGAATCATAAAAAGGTATCAAACTCAGCACAAAAATTATACGTTTTGGTCATGCAAGTAAGTTCACTCGAGCATGGGAGCCTCCTGGGTAACAAAAGCAATCTTAGAAGAAGCGGAAGCCACTGAACTCTTGTTTTTCCTTTTGACCCCGCAGTGGTCTCCACACACATCACATGTCAACCTCCCCTCCGCAAGCTGCCACGTGTCCGAAGCACAAATGTAAGCTCTCTTTCTTCACAAAAGAGGCGCCAGGGAATTTGGATCCGATTCGCTTTCCGATATCTGCTTCGCTCGTTCGTTGTATGCATACCTTTCAATCACTCACTTCGGCATCTCACTCTCTCCTTCCCCCAATTCCTCGAAAACCTAATAATCCCAATCTTCGATTCCCAATCGCTTCGAATCGGACTTTTGCTCTCAAGTTTCCAGGTGATTTCTGCAATTCCCGCTAATTGTTTGTCGCAATTGTTGTTAATTCGTTGCGTTTAGTTTCAATTTGTGGCAATCTGTTTGGTTGCCGGGAAAATTGTGTAGGGAGTAAAGAAAACTTGAGCTTTCGAGGTTGTTATTCGTTTTGAATTTCTCAATTGTTGTTCATCGCAATCGTGTTGATTCATTGTGTTTAGGCTCATTTTCTGTCTGACTGTTTGGTTACCGGGAAAATAGCGTCGAAAATGAGAGAGAACGTGGAAATTGGAGTCTTTGTTAATAAAAGACTCAGATTGAACTTCCGAAATTTGTTGGCTGAAGAAATTAACAAAAAATATGCTTTTTTTTTTTTTTTTTTAATTTCAAACTTTGTATTTGATTGAGGGTCATCTTAACGAATTCGGATGTTTGGTTTTGGATTTGGAATGGTTTTTACAGATGTTTGTATCTCTTGTATATTATAATTCAGTGCAGGTTTGCGTTGGATATAGGATAGTCATGGATCGGCTCGAAGCTCCTGCCCGGCTAATGATAGTTTCAGATCTTGATCATACAATGGTACGTTCTGTAACTTGTTTTGTCATTGTGGTTTTGCTTCGTTCCCTTTCTGCAGCGATTTTAGTGGTGAATGCTTCAATTGCAGGTTGATCATCATGACACTGAGAACCTTTCCCTGCTCAGATTCAATTCCCTGTGGGAAGCGAATTACCGTCACGATTCTCTGCTGGTTTTTTCAACTGGAAGGTCACCGACACTGTACAAAGAATTGAGAAAAGAGAAACCCATGTTAACTCCCGATATAACAATAATGTCTGTAGGAACCGAGATAACATATGGTAACACAATGGTTCCTGATGATGGCTGGGTTGAGGTTCTGAATCAAAAATGGGATAGGAACATAGTCAAAGAGGAAGCCAGCAAATTTTCTGAACTTAAACTTCAGGTATATTATATATGTTACTGGCGTTGATTAGTGTCTCTCGTGGTGTCATGCCATGAATTCTGTTATAGACATGCATTGGAATAAACTGAAGTGAAATTCAAATAAGAAACTAGTTGTATATGAACTTTCTGAAGTATTAAACTTTATGCGGAATTCAGGCAGAAACAGAGCAACGGCCACACAAGGTTAGCTTTTATGTTGAGAAGGCCAAGGCTCAGGAAGTGACAAAGGCTCTTTCAGCAGTTTTTGAAAAGCGTGGGGTAAGATATAAATCTTAGACAGCAATTTTCATTTATACTGCAGACCTGCGTTGAATCTTAGTTTTTGTAAAGTGTTAAAGGTTATTACTTTCAGAGTACCATAGGTATTGTTGCTTTTGTTATTGACCTAAGTTGTTGCTTTATCTTTGGTAAGTTGGATGTGAAGATAATCTATAGTGGAGGAATGGATTTGGATATATTACCACAAGGTGCTGGCAAAGGACAAGCTCTTGCATATTTGCTTAAGAAATTTAAGAGTGAGGGAAGGCCACCTGTTAACACTCTTGTTTGTGGTGACTCTGGAAATGATGCTGAGCTTTTTAGCATTCCAGAAGTATATGGTGTCATGGTTTGTAGCTCAATTTGTTTCTCTTCATATTTAAGCACTATTTTCTTACAGTGAAATGTGTTTTCCTCGTTAATCGGTTTTATTTTGTTATTTATGATCATACAGGTTAGCAATGCCCAAGAAGAATTGTTGCAGTGGCATGCCGAAAATGCTAAGGGTAACACAAGGATTATTCATGCAACAGAGAGATGTGCAGCTGGAATCATACAAGCCATTGGCCACTTTAAGCTAGGTCCGAGTTTGCCCCCAAGAGATATTGCAGATTTTTCTGACTATAAACTGGAGAATCCAAATCCTGGTCACGAACTAGTAAAGTTTTTCTTGTTCTATGAGAAATGGAGACGCGCAGAAGTTGAGAATTCAGAGATCTATTTGGCAAGTTTGAAAGCAGATTGTGTATGTTTATATCTTCCTTTCTCCTAAATACTGAGTTTTAGGAGATTACACCATCTTATATTTATTGCATAAATTTATGCTGTCAGAAGATATTATCATCGTTTCCATTTCAGATTTGAACATCTTTTGAAATACTTCAAAAATTTTCTAGTTCAATTTGTAGTTAACAGATTACATGAGTTCTGGTTCTTTTCGTAAATTGTGTAGAAAGAAAAAGTAAGTCACTTCTCATTTTGGATATGGCCTACAGGTTAGTAACTTAGAATTCATATTTTTTTCCCTTCCTATTCTTTTTTTTTGGTACAGAGGAGGGCAAAGCCCAGCAAGCAAAACAAAAAAGCTAGGCAAGAACAGCCCTAGGAAGGGCCCTGCCAATAGAATCAGAAACTAGAAAATTAGTAGCAGTGGTAGGAGGAGAAGCAAAAACATGAAGGCCAAGGGATAACCCATGACCCAAGTCAGCCATGTGATCAGCTGAGGCATTCTTTTCTCTATAGATATGAGTGACTTCACATCTCCAATTTTTTTTTTTGATGGCTTCTTTGCGGTCAATAATGAGATTGTAGAGCGGGTGCGAAACCAAAATAGGATTTTGGATCAAAGTAACAGCATCCCAAGAATCACATCCCTGCAACCCTCATCCCAAGCTATAGAAAGGCCCATGAAAACACCCCAAAGCTCAGCTTCCATGATGGTTCCTCTACCCAAATTAGCAGCAAATCCCTTAATCCATTCCCCTTCAGAATTACAAATCAAACCTCCAGCACTTATGTGGCTAAATGGCTCTTTACAACTCCCATCTGTATTGGTTTTATATCTACCAATTGGCGGGCAGATCCAATGGATTGAGATGATTTGTGTAGGAGGCTTTTTCAACTACATAATAAATCTATGACTCAAGCCCAGTTTGTAACACTTATTTATATACAAATAAAACTTGGTCGTGTTGTGATCAGACAAAGCAGTGGAGGTGAGTGTGTATGATGCCATATTACATGAGAGGTGAAGTTTTGGGGATCTTTTGACGTTGACAGTGCGTGCTTCATGTTTATCACTATTGTCATTTTGGTATTTTGTTCTCTAAGACATCAAAATATGTGAAGATAGTGAACAGAAAAAATGAAATTACCTGTCTACAACATCTGCATGCCAGAGTGTGAACTTGCTCAATTTTCTTATATGTATGTTTGCATTGTCCAATTACAACATCTTTGTAAATAGAAATCATTCCTTTGAAATTATTATTGAACCCATAAAATTGTTTGTTAAATTATTATTAAACTCGTAAAATTGTTTAGTGACAACATTTGGTTCCAATTGACGGAAAAAAAAAAGACTGTCGAAACATTATTTTTCTGGTTTAATTTTGGGTTAAATCCTTGGATTGAGTAAACTTCTTCTGTGTACTTTTGTAAAAATAAACAGACCTTGGATATTTTGGTATTTAATTATTTCATATCATGTGTTGCCCTTTTGCATCACCTTAATTGTGTTCGTCTCATCAGCTGCTAACCTTTAATTATGTTTTCTTTGGGTCAGTCTCCATCCGGTACATTTGTCCATCCTTCTGGAGTTGAGCACTCTCTTTCTGACAGCATAAATGGTCTGAGAAACTGCTACGGAGACAAACAGGGAAAACAATTTCGGGTTTGGGTGGATGGGGTATTAGCTACACATGTTGGTTCAAACACATGGCTAGTGAAGTTCGATAAGTGGGAATTATCTGGTTAGACGCTCCCCCCCCCCCCCCCCCTTTCTCTCTTCTCCTTCTATTTAAGCAATCCAACATGTTTATACTATTTGATAAATATATGTTTAAAATTTAACAACATTAATATTTCTGAGAGACGGCTTTGTGGAATATGCTGCATGCGATATCTTACTCATATCCAGCATTTGACGATTTTAATGAAAATAAAATTGCATCCTTTTTCTGGACAAACATGACAATCATGGTCATTGACGTAGGAAAAAGTTGTATATATTTTAGACACATCATGACTATCTAAGTTGTAGCACCATATACGCGCAACTTGCTGCTGCTCTGTTGACTCTCCTCCTCATTGCAGGTGAAGAACGTTGTGCAACAAAGGGAACAGCTGTTATAAGTTCAAAGGTGAGATATGAGATTGTGATTGGTTTATGTCCTCCAGCACTCCCGCCTTAACATTTTCTAAGATCAGATTATCGGGTTTCAGGGTTCCGGTGTGTCAGTTGGTTTCACTTGGATTCGAGTGCACCAGACGTGGTACAAAGGATACGAAGCAAAAGATGATTCAACGTGGTTCTTCTAAATTGTGATTGCAGGTTCATTTCAAAGATCTACAGCGCCCTGAAACTTCCTCTGTGAAAATAATTGCGTATGTTAAATATTCAAGTTTTCGGAAGTCACGTAATCATCAACTACACGGACATGGTTACGAGATGATTAATTCAGTTAAAAAGAAATAACAGTAAGGCTGGTATTCATAGTCTAACGGCTTCCTTCGACATAAACGTTTCATAAACTTGAACAGATGACACAGAAGAATGACAATGATGTCAATGAATACTTACCCTTAATAATGTAAATTTGGTATTTTACGTAAAATTTACATATGCTATCATGTCTCCTAATTTCATAAATTGTAGCGATTTTGACAGTTCTTGTTTAACTGTACGCACCTCAAACTCAGAGGCTAAAGGAGTGTTCAAATCGTGAGGGACATGGCAAGCAAGCTTTCAGTTTTGTATTGGTCTTTAGAAGAAAAACCCATGAATTCGAGTTATAGATGGTAGCCCATAGTTGAGTTGGGTCTACTGGGCTGCATCCTTTAGGGAAGTGTGAGTGGGAGCCCTTCATGAACGTGTAGAAATGGTGTTTCAGATGAAAAAAAAAATACTAAAGAGATTATTTTTTTAAGATCATATTTTGTAAATTATATGATGTGTCAGTTGATTGTTGAATTATATTTTTAATGATTTACAGAAGAATCCAACAATCATCCGTCATATCATGTGATCTACAAAATACAGTAGTTTCTCTAGCATTACCCTTACGAAAATAACCACTCATGCAATGGTGGTGATGAGTTATTTAATATTCGTAATGAACTCTCTTTTTTTGGTCAAAATTTAAGAAGAAATCTTTATGAATACATGACGTTGTAAACTCCAACTAATTTTGGTTGATAATTTTTTATTGGTAAATAAAATAATGCTGCACCAAAGCAGCAATAACCCACACTAACTATTTATGGGGATATTCCATTCTCGTAAATAGACCATTAGCAGCGAAATGGGTGATTCTTAAGGAACTCAACTGAAGTCTAATAGTGAACTTAATTGAGTTGAGAGCCACCATATCGGATTGACACAAATTCTTGAATCTACGGTTGTTCTGTTCTCCATACATAATACATGGTAGCAATAAGACATAACTTCAACACTATCAACGATAGAGATTTTTCCTTCCACCGGCTAGCATGCCACACAACAAAAAAAAAGGCCAAAGGAGCCTTAGCCACAGGACACTGCACTTGAACAACACCGAAGACCAAATAGCTAAAAAGACACTCAAAGAAAAGGTAGCATTGAGACTCCATAGCACTAGAGTAGAGGACACAAGTGACATGAGCCGATGAAGCAAATGTCAAAATCCTATTCATAGTACAAAGCTTGCATTTAATGGCCAACCAAAGAATGAAACACATATTGAGAATATTTTGATTATACCGTACAAGTTTTGACCAACCTGCATTAGGCTTAGATTGCCAAAACCTATCCCAAACGGAAGCGGCAGAGTAGATGTTAGATGATGGAGTCCATTATCATATCATCCAAGTTAGTATTTGGAACAATCTTAGACGTTGAGATTTGACTTTCCAACAACTTTTGAGAAGAATTGTGAGGTCGACACCAATTAAAACCATTCAGAATATTGCAAATCAAAGCAGTTTTAGGCACCCCGAAATCAGCAATGATATTGCAACCCCAATTGACAAAAAAGGACCTAATTAATGTCAATTGTTATAGCAAAGAGAGGTTCTCCTACGATCCCTAATTTTGTGGAAAACAAGAAGCCAAACAAAATCTCTCAAATGGAAAAACTTCGTCCAATTCGAGAAATTTTTTATTGTGACCGAAACACAGGTGATACACCATATGTTTTTATACAAGTGATGGTAAATTGTATTTTTTAAGTTATTAATTTTTTAACACACACATCCCACCATTTGTATAATGACAAGTGATGTACCACCTCTTGTACCGGTCACATGAAAAAATCTCTCGTCCAATTCCAAGAGCAATTAATTTTGGGGGATCCCAATCTGCCAAAAATTCATATTCTTTAAAAGATAGTCCTAGCCTAGGCCAAAATCTTTGGTTATGAATGGTAGACCACGTGAGTAAGAAGTATCTCTCTCTGAAAGAAAACCTTAACCTAGCAGCATCTCGCACCACTGGCCCTTGGGAAGGCTTGGACTGGCGGCATCCTCACCTTTCCTCCTCCTAGCCATTTCCCCTTTCCTTCTACGCCTTCTACAGCCGCCTCTCCTCCCCTCTCCTTCTTGCTTCCTTTTTTCCTTATTTCTCCTTTTTTTTTCCTTCTTCACTGTTCTCAGCTTTCCTTGGGCTTGGTCCCAATTTTCTTTGAGCTTGTCTCATATATGAGTTTCATGCCCGTTTCTCAGCTTTCCCAGCAGGTTTCAGTGTTTTCCCGTTTCTCTCTCACCCATTTTTCTTCTCCATGCTTTCCCAAATCCCATTTTTGATCTAGCCATAAGCTTGCTCTTGAAGTGTTTGACCCGATTGGTTCCCTAGATCCACACCTCACAGCCCCTTGCCTTACCAGCTTGCCAGAAAATCTGGGTGAAGTGTGGAACGATTTGCATCGTAATAAGGGTGTTTTACATACCCCCTTCAACCCTCTCTTTTTTTTCTTTTTTCTTTTTTTTGTTTGGTTCTCTGATTCTCTTTGCAAGTTTTGCTGTCGACGGTTTGGATCTCAGGGTTTGATTTGGTTCGGTGTTTCAAGATTAATATTATGGTTTGTGTGCATTGTGGATTTGGTGCAAGCATCGTGGTACGGCGAGCTGCTCTTCGATGTTGGAGATTAGGGTTTCTTTTGTTGCTTTGTTTCTTTTGCTGGGCATAAACTTGGTTGGGCTTCCCTAGACGTTTTGGGCCTCCCTACATTAGTAACACCTTGACCAGAAAGCTTGCTAAGGACTTTCGAGCCCTTTGCTCAATGTTGATGAGAATTTTCTTAGCTAAATGATACTCTCCACAAAACATATACGGTCCAATAACATGTAAGCTTAAATATATGACCAAGTGATGGAAAAAGAAAAAAGAAACACTGAGTAGGTACACATGCATTGAGCGGTTGGTCGTATATTTAGGACTACGATTCTCTTTCATTTTTTTTTCATCTCCTTTCATCTTCTCTTCTTACATTCTCTTATTTTATCTTTCTTTAACTATAAAAAATTAATATAAAATGCTAATATGGCTTAACAGTAATCGTTCAAATAGGAAATGAGGAAAAAAAAAAAAAAAAAAAAGGGAAGATAATCTTACTCCGAATATTTAAGCTTACATGTGCAAGCACGCATACAGGTGCACTAAACCATGCCCTCATACGTAAACACTCCCTCAATCCAATTTCCCACTCGTCAAAGTCAAAGTTGCCCTTCACGACACGTACGTACAGTATGGGAAAACATAAATCAAACATTCAAAGTATCACTTACTGTCCAAATTCCAGTGGTGGTTCGTTGTTTGATTGAAATCTTATTAGTTTTTAGATTTTGATCGAGCTCTTTAACACTAATGTAATAATGAATTTACATGTCAGTTGCATAAATTTTAAAATAAAAATTAATAATTGATTTAGGATTTTAGTACTCACACCTTTATTAAACTCATAACTAATTTTCAATTTTCCAAAATAAAAAAAAAATAGAATAAGTTTGTACCCCTTAATTTTTTTTAAAAAGGTTTCCAATTTTTTAATCTTATATGTACCCATTCATGTAATTTTTCAATTTTTTAATCTTAAAATATACCCATTCTTAAATATACCAATTTGTTGTAATAAAATGTACATTATATATATATAATCTATTCAATTTTTTTCTAATCCATTTTCAATTATATATATATATAATCTATTCAATTTTTTTCTAATCTATTCAATTTGTTGTTATTAAGCATAATATCTATTATTTTTTGTGTGGATTTGAAGAATGTACCTTTATTTTGGTACAATAATTTTTTTGTTAATTTTTTATGAATGTACCCATGTTTATATACATACATATATATATATATACACACACACACACAAAATATATTGGAGAGTATAATTTATATTTTAATAATTTTAATCCACAAATTATGGGTTTTATTTATTTAAAATCTCATTAATACAAACAACTATAAATTTCAATTTTTAATTTAAAAAATATAATAACCAACATAGAAATACATTATCACATTAATTTCAGGGACTTCGATCAAAAATTAAAAATTAACAAGGTTTCAGTTAAAGAATATTGATTGTTGTGGATCTCTTATCTGAGAAAGACTGAGAGACCAATAGTAGGGTTGTTATGAACTCGCAATATATACATATATGGGTTTTAGAACCGTGTACGGGCTGCTGTTCCTGTCCTTCTCGTGCGCCTGTATCATACTCATCCACCTAATGCTCCACCCAGTATTCTACAACACCACCTGAGAAACTCTCAGAAGTGAAAAGTTGATTAGAGCTGCAGGTGAAACATGGGTTAGCGCACAAGATTCATACTTATCGGTTTTGTTTTGTATTTATACTTCAATATTTCAATTGGGTTGGTATTTGTTTATTGATGCATATATGTGTGTTGTACTAGCATATTACAATAATTCAATTGTATATTTGTGAAATTAGTATATGTTGTAAGTGAGGATGAATTGTGTGTGTGTTTGAATTGTTAAATTGGTGTGATTTAATATCATAGGCATTGATCATGTAAGTTAATGGCTTGATCTATATTTTCTCTTACTTTCTTGACAAAAACTTGGCGGTACCTGATTATGTACGTATTGTATGGTGATTTTAAGTACGTGTAAGTAAGAAAACAAGTAAATTTCAGCCGCCCATGATTGATGGGCTTCAACCAAAGTTAGGAGAAATACTCTGGGGATACCTAACTATGGTATTCATGATAAACTTGTGACACTCTCTTATTTAGGCTCCATTTGATATTGATTTTTTTTTGGTACTAAAAATTACTTTACTTTAAAGTTAAGTATAAAAAATGTCTACTAAAAATAAAATATCATATTTATTTTAAAAGCAATGATCTATAGACAGACATGTAACGGAAGTTGCTTTTAAAAGCTATTTTAATAAAAAAGCGAAATTGAACCTTTAATGAATATTTTCAATTGCTATCATACCTTCATTACTTTTTTTAAAATAACATTATTTAACCTTCTATGCACATTTTGTCCCTTAGAGAATAAATTGACCTAACCTCTACCACATACCACAAGAAATACTAACCTTACACCATCACTACTATTACCATCACCATTGTTACCACCATCACCACCATCACCACAACCTCCATAGTCACCACAACCACAACTGTCACTAGCATCATTGTCACCACCATCACCGGTAATCCAGTAGATAAAGTACATTACATAGTCCGTTTTAGGGATTGACGACTTACTATTGTCACCACCATCATGACCACAAACTCCACCACTGTCACTACAACCACAATTGCCACTACCACCATTGTCGCCACCACCATTATAACCACAACAACCACCACTACCACCACAATCAGAATCGTCATCACCACTACCATTACCACTATTGTCCCCACCTCTGTTGTCGTTGCCCTCACTCCTACTACTATGTCCATTTTGTCATTTTATACAATTATATTAATTTTATATTAATATTTACCAAACATTACATTGCCTTTAATACTATCAGCACTTTTAAAATACAGTTAATCAAACGCTCATCTACTTTATTTTACAGCTGATTAATCTTCAAGCGCAACATAAACAGTTTTTTAAAAAAGCACATCAATCCCAAATTATCCCTTACTCTCTTATTAAGGTCTTATTCTACTCGTTATTGGTTCTACTCGGAGTGAAAATTTTCCTAACAAAGCAATCCCACCCACATATGTGTTTGATATAGTAGACAACAATATTCTAAAAGACACTAGGCACTAGTCGGGAGGCGGGTTGGGGTCTAGCGCCTAGGCAGACTAGGTAGATTTAAGTAAATCTATTATATTTCGTGTAAATAAGTGTCTCTTTATACTTAAAATATATATAATTACATCATAAAATATAAAATAGAATGACATATATATTATGAAGTATTGGAACGTAATGAAAACATGGGGAACAAGCATATAATGTGTGTTTGTTTAAGTATTCAACAAATCTCTTAAAATTTATTGAAAAAAAAATAAAATGCAAAATGAAAGTTATCTATTTTATGTCGAAATGAGTCGCAATCTAGGCAGATGTCTAGGCGGGTTTGTGCGGTCTAGGTGGGCGCCTTCGTAGGTCTAGACGTCCTTTCTTAATTTTCAAATACCTAGGCATTAATTGGGATGGTGACCAGCCGGCTAGCGCCGCCCAAAACAATGGTAGGTAGAACAGAAAATTGTCATGACCTGTCTTGAATTTCATTTTGTTTTATTTCTCTTAAGTTGTTAAGTTAAAAAATGCTTCTAGAATGGATAAATAGAAACACCACCTTGTGTATTGAGTATACTAAAAAAATTCTCTCTTTATGTAAGTCTTATTGATTGATCGATGTTATGCAAGTCTTGTTGATTGATTAATGTTATATATGCAAGTCGTGTTCATTGATTAATGAAATCCCAACAGACCTGAACAAAAGCAAACAAGAAAATGCTACATTATTCTAAATCGACTTTTTTTCTTTCCAAGCCACCAAATATATAAATCATATATACGAATGTGGATTCTTTAGTCTATACCGTGAAAAGGTCAATTCTTAAGGGATTGTTGGCAATAATTCATAATTTTCAAGTACAAGGAAGTTATTTAACACGAGAACTAAGGGGCAATTTGATAACTATTTTTTTCTTAGTTTTTACTTTCTTTTTTTTATTGAAACTTGAAATCTTGTTTTTATTTTTTGGTTCTCAGTTTTTGTTTTTAAAAAAAAAACTAAAAATTGAAAGCAGTTACCAAACATGATTTCAATTAAAATAAAAAAAAATTGCAAATGAAATTGGTTATCAAATGAATTATAAATTATTCAATACTTATTAGTTTGTTTGTTTTTGAGAAAAAAAATATATAATATTTCATCATTAAATAAAGGACATTATATAGACATGTTCGAGAACAATTCAATGCCCAAAGATTTGCAAACTAAATCTACAAATATTGTAATAAGTATGACTAATTGCAATGTAATCAGCAGACTTTTAGCACTTCATTAAAGTAAAAATACAAATATAGACCAAAAATCTCAAATAGATTTGGTTTAATCTTTTTAGCCAGGCAAATGCCATACTACTAATAAACCTATCCTACATATGGATTTCGTGGATTAAAATCTTGGGTGGTGCTATGTTCACACACCTCTTTTACCGATCTCCACATTTTTCTTAAATTTTCAACGTCGGTTCAAATGGTTGACGAAGATTATAGGACAAAATTAACAAGTTGTGCGAAAGGTAAAAAGAGATGTGAATATAACACCACCCTTTCTTTTTACTCACAGATCTAAGTACTAATATATCGTCTTCAAAGGATGTATCCTCCTGGTAAACCTACCTTAGATTTCCTTGAATTGCTCATAATGCATACTCATGGTTACCCTTTCTTTTTATTATAGTCTCACTCATGCTTACTTCAGTTAAAAAGAAAGTTTATGGAATGAAGTGTCGTTGGCATTGACCCTTGATATTACAAAGGATTGTGTGTTTGTCAATGCTTTTCATAATCAAAGGCAAACCCCACACACGTAGAGATAAGAAAAGATTAAACTCTAGAAATTAATCTCTGTAACTTAATACTTTTTGTGAATGATGGAGAGAGGAAAAATCATTTTTAAGGATGATAATAATTAGTTATATCTTGAAGAAATCTTCTCTATTTATAGAGAATTAAGTGACTTTCTAAATTGATTGAGTAGCCATGCAAAGCCATGCAAATGTGCAGGCATATAGTTCAAACCTCTTGATCCCCCTTGATCAAGAGGTATCTGCTCGTTTGAATTATGTCAGATGGCTTTTTAGGTAGAATCATCTGTAAAAAATTTATGTTAAATTAAGGTTATTTTTGTTCAATGAAGCCTTTTACTTTTCATTTAGGGGTGTGATATCCACACACCCCAGGTTACTTCTCACACACCCTTTTAATTTTCAGCCGTCAGATCAAATGATTTGAAGAAGATCAACGGACAGAAATGAACAAGGGGTGTGTGAGAAGTAATTTGGGATGTGTGGATAGCACACCCCTTCATTTAACGGAGATTTTCCATGAAATGACCAAAATGATAAACAGTGGACAAACTTAAAGACCGCTTCAATCGATTTTCAATGTCCATAACCAAAATGAGGAGTTATATTAATCTCAATGACCATTTCAGTTAAAAAGCCTAATTCATATTGTTTCGTTTCAAAACTCTTTAATTTTTTAATTTAACACAAATACGGGCAATCGGTCGTGAGACACAAAGTTTGAAAACTTTGAGAATCTGTCAAACCCATTGACCTCCATAGTGGTTGGCCAGTAGCTCTTGTATTAAGAAGAAGCAAAGACTTAAGCGCTAGCCCTAGTGGGCGAGGGTGGATGAAAATGCCAAGAGTTTGTTTCCCATAACAAATTACAAAAACAAAGACTTGAGACTAAATTTATGATTTTATCATCATTATTGGAGAAGTCTTAGATGCGTACAATTCATTCAAGTTAACCTAAATACGTATTTTTTTAAGATGTATAATTCAAACACGACTCAATGGTATACAGCATAATTAACGACAAAACCACTTTATTTATTTGTTTCTTTTTGCTAAAAAAAGAAGGTAAATACGTACAAGGCACAAGTACAAATTAGAAGTCATTTTCATTGCTTGTCACTCTTTCATTTTCCTTTTCTCTATAGAATGAATTTATTGAACTCCTTTTGTTTTTGGTTGGTGTCTAGGCCTGTTTGATGAAGGTAGAACAGAAGTTTGGCACAAAAGAAATAGTTATATCAAACAAACAAAAGAAATAGTTTTCTTTCTATTTTTTTAAATTTATCACCAACTACAAAAAAATAAAAAAAATAAATTGTTGCAGTCCTATTGGATTAGAAATGTGATTGTATAAATCTTAGTATATCTAGGAGTATCTTTGTATATTCCCTTTAGTAGTTTAATTCCTATTAGAGTTGTAATCCTAATAGAGTAAGGATTTAACCTTCTCCACTACTATAAATAAAGGCACAATGAGGTGATACAACACACACCTCAGAATTACATCTCTCTCTTCTCTCTATGTTGCTGTCGACCCCTCTCCCTCTCTGTCCTAAATACAGTTCAGTCAAATAGGCCTACAACACGTTACTGTCAGAAGCTAAGGAACTGAAGGATCGTGGAGGAGGTTTTCTTCTACAATATCAAAGGCTTTCAATTATTTTATGCCAATCAGGTTCTTCTCAAAATAAATTAAGATATTTGAAAAAACCTTGAAGCATGAAAACATTTCCAATGATGCATGAACCCCTTATATTTATATTTTCCTTCCAATTATATATATTGTGTATGTGTTCATATATTTTGTCAATATATATTGTTCATGCAATACGCAATTATGATATGTGGAATTTGTGAGTCAAAGCATCGAAATTTATTTAGAGGCAATTACGGTTTTACACTAGATTTCGAAAAAAAATAAAAATAAATAAAAATAAAAGAAGAAGAAAATTTTGGGATTTTGCGATATAAGCCGCAGCTCACTGCCGTCATGCCCCGTCGCTAGCTTGTAGCCCAGCTGCGTGGAGCAACTTGGGACGACATCGTTTCGACGCCATGAACCTCGGCAGCAGCATGACACCCAGGCCTTTTTGAAACGAGCTTGCAACCCTAGCCCATTCCAGCAAGCCGGCAGTTTTGCTGTGCTCGCCCATGCGCCCCTGGCCCATCTCCAGCATGCCTGAAACCTACTAGGCTCGTCCCCTTGCCCTGGCCCGCCTGCAACAACTTTCTTGGCTGCTAGGCTTGTATAGTCACCGCCCAACCACAAAGCCAACTTTGGCTGGGCTTCCTCAAATATTACATATTATAACGTATCAAAGTTTAGTGACGATCCAACGGTCGGATCGTCGATTGCTATAATAATCAAGTGGCGGACCTTAATGGAACTAAGTTCAAAAGATGGAAATTCGTCAATTAGACTTCACCAATGGAATCAGGGTATTCAAATTTAGCCTAGGAAGGTCAGGGGATGTCTCGGCCCACGCGCCTCCGCAGGTGACGATTGGCCATCCCGACTCGCCGGAAAATTCAACTATTTCTAAAAATTCTCAAACTTCACAGAAATAAAGATCTCAATGAGTAGAACAACTTTCATACCTGTGACTAAAGCCAATTTGGCCAGGAAATGTCCCAATTTCACGAAAACCCGCCAGAAACCCTATAAAGGGTGATTCTTGATTCAACTCCAAACAAGCTCCTACGCCTCCAAGGTTGATTGGGCTTTGTTTTTGGGTTCATGGAGAGTCTATTAGTGGTGTTAATTGAATGGAAATGTTTCAGGTTTGGTGGATCTCGATCGAGGGTCCTCACGACACCTATAGTTCTCGTAAGGATGTTTTCCCCAAAATACAACCAAATTCTTTATAATTTTAGGTGGAAAAGGAAGAGGGAGGGTAGTGGAATGTTTTCCAGGTGATGGATGGCGACGATTTGACGGAAAGCCCGACGAAAATTGTTAGAAACGATGGCGGAACCCGGTTGGGTCGCTGGTCAATGGGGAACCTAGCGGGTTCCTCTCCTTTTCTCCTTTTCTCCTTTTTCCTCCTTTCCTCTTTTCCCATTAGTTCTCCTCCTTTTCTCCCTTCCTCATTGGTCTGGTTCCTCCCTCATTTCTCTTATTTATGCTCCATCTCTATCTTAACCGACCATCTTTTTTTCTTTTAATCTGGGCCACACAAGTGGCTCCACAAGATTTTGCTCCAAAAATCTGGAGCATTCAAGAAAATAACTAATTAACTAAAATGCACCCGACTTTAAACGTTAATATCTCCTTCGTTATAACTACAAATAACGATCTGTTTGTGCCCACGCGTCCGTAGCGACGAGTACTATGGGAATACTCCAAGAAAAAGAACATTACGTGACACGACATGGGAGTCAACAAAAGTCAACATTTTGTCTCGAAGGCCATTTTCGTAAATTCACCTTTTTTAAAATTATAAAAATCATAATAATTGGGAACGGGTCGTTACAACGCCTATGGTCGTTTGGACTCTAGATGCTAAACAAGATCCCTTTCGTCTCAAGGAGGATGAGGAAGAGATTTTGGAGCTTGAAGTTCCATACCTAAGTGCAATTGGTGCTTTATTGCATTTGGATTAATGCACTAGACCCGACATCTCCTTCACTGTTAATCTTTTGGCTAGATACAACAATGTGCCAACACGTAGACATTGGAATGGTGTTAAAGACATTTTCCGCTACCTCAAGGATACGATAGATTTGGGCTTGTTCTACACCCACGAATCCTTGAGAGGAGTCGCCGCCCCCCTTGGTCGTCGGGTTGATTCTCGCCTTGTTGGTTACGCAGATGCTGGTTATCTGTCTGACCCACATAGGGCACGTTCTCAAACTAGCTATGTCTTTACCGTTGGAGACACCGCTATATCTTGGAGGTCTACCAAGCAAATGCTAGTTGTGACTTCTTCGAACCATGGTAAGATTCTCAACCTGCATGAAGCATCGCGTGAGTGTTTTTGGTTGAGAGTAGTCATGAAACGTATTCGAAGCACTAGTGGTCTTTCTTTCATCATTAACCTTCCTACGATGATCTTTGAAGACAACGCATCATGTATCGAGCAGTTAAAGAGATGATACATTAAGGGAGACAACACCAAGCATGTAGCGTCGAAGTTCTTTTATTCTCACCAGCAACAACAACATCAAAACATTGAAGTCAAGCAAATTCATTCCCAGGACAACCTGGCCGATTTCTTCACTAAGTCATTGCCCAAATCTACTTTTCAGAAGCTCGTCCAAAGAATCAGTATGTGTAAATTATCTGAGTTGAATTGCTTGTAGTTCTCTTATTTGGAAGTTATGTCTAACTCAGGGGGAGTATCCTGAAGCATACTCACTTGATCTTAATGTACTATTTTTCCTTTGATTAAAAGCATTTTTCCCACTGGGTTTTTGCTACCTAACGAGGTTTTAATGAGGCACCCATCCTGAGATGATCATACTCCATTGAGTTCACTATTTTCATTCTGTTTGACGTTTGTTTTAAGACATTATGCATACTTCTCACTTTTCTCCTTAGTCTATGGGATTTTACCTACCTTAGGTTTACCATAGTGAGGTTTTGTGAGTTTTACTACCCATGCATACTTTCTTTTAAATTTGAGACTTGCATTCACCCGTTGTGTCGACAACTTCATCAACTGTTCTACCTTATCTGCTGAAGATCTGATGCGATGTTTTGTTTGAGTATTTACACACTCAAGGGAGAGTGTTGCAGTCCTATTGAATTAGGAATGTGATTGTGTAAATCCAAGTGTATCTAGGAGTATCTTTGTATATTCTCTTTAGTAGTTTAAGTTCTATTAGAGTTGTAATCCTAATAGGGTAAGGATTTAACATTCCCTACTACTATAAATAAAGGCACAATGGGGTGATACAACACACACTTCAGAATTACATCTCGCTCTTCTCTCTTTGTTGCCGCTGGCCCCTCTCCCTCTCTGTCCTAAATACAGTTCAATCAAATAGGCCTACAACAACAATAGTAAATTGGATGATTATTCTTACACAAAATTTATTTTAAGACATTTTTTTCCTAGTAAATTTGTTTTATTTTAAGACTTTGTACCCTATAAAGAATTGAATCTATTATTTTCCTGGTCACCAATATTATAATTAAAAGTAGTAACTGACTCATAAGGCAACTCACCAAGTTTGATTTGCGGTTTTAACACCAAGAATCCAGATAAAAACAGCAGGTTTGTTACTTGTTGCCAATTAACGTTAGCACTTAAAGGCAGAGGATAAATACAGGCAGAAAATAAAAAAACAATTAACTATTAACAACACTTAATTAATTCAAGTCTTAACCAATGAAATCAGTTAAGCCGTCTTTTTTTTACTGGGTCGTACAATTTTAGGCACATTCCTCATTAGCATGGTCAATGTCATGTTTTCTTGTATACATCGCCGATTCTAAACCGCTTTATTTTTCTCTTTCTCTCGCACTATATATACAATCTCCCACCAACTTTCATTCCTCACCAGTTTCTTATTTTTCTCTTTTTTTGTAATTGTTTTACTATGAATTTCTTGGGTTTTTTTCCATGTCCTTGTTGATACAAAAAAAAGCTCATGATAGTGTTTGGTCCAAATTAGACATTTTGATTCTAGAGAGAGAGAGAGAGAGAGAGAGAGAGAGAGAGATGGAGAACTCTATTGGTGTAGGGTTCATGGCTGTTTTTGCTGTATCTGGAAGCGTGGTTGTCCTTGCCCATCAACTCCACAAACGGCTTCTCTCCGATTTCATGAAGAATATTGAATCTGAACTTGGTGGTTTTCTCTCCCCCCACAAAAGATTGGCAGCTGGTAAGTCAACCTTCACTAATTTTCTCGTCCTCGTATTTTGTTTCCAGAAAATTTTAGCAATGCCTTATGAACTTCTGACTCGCGTCACCTTTCGCACGAACCGAAAGTCTAAATTATATATTTTTATTTTTATTTTTGGGTACTTAGGAGGATCTGAGAAAGTGCAAACCAAGAAGAGTGTTAGGTTTGCAGAGGATGTTGTGGAACCATCATCAAATAACAAAGAGTACCGCAAGAGGAGGTCCGGTAATAATACAAAGCAGGCTAAAGAGGGTTCTGGGAATCATAAAATGGAGGACAACAGCATGCCACTCAATAGGCAAGCTCTTTACAAAGGGATCATTGAATCTAAGGCCCTCAAGGGCACAGATGTTTTTTAATATATAATCGTTGTTGGTTTCGAGTCGTGTTAACTTGCATATTTTCATTTTGTAAATTAAGAGTTCTTTTGTATAAATTGATTTTTTTTTTCTCTTTTTTTTTGGTCGAAACTTTTTTTTTTTTTTTTGTATGAATTGCATTTTTTTTCTCTTCAATCCCTCTCTAAAAAAACAATAAAAGGTGATGAAGAAGTTACGGGGAGGTCAAATGTATATATTTTCTCTGTACTCATCATTTAATTTTTATATGATGATGAAATTATGAGACGAAAATGTATACCTTCTGCTGTACTAATAAAGACTTTCTCAAGATTTTGTGATCCATAGATTTAGTTCCATGGATGCGAAAAGTCTTTTAGGTAATGTGGGAGATGGAAGAACAAACATTCTTTGTTTGAATAAAAGGGTAATTTGGTTGTTCATTAGTTGACCAAAGCCTAGGAATTGTCAAAGATGATTCCATCGAAAGACTGGCACGTACTGCAGGACTCAGTCTTTGCTTGTATTTGTACTGTGTTATGTTTCTGGATCTCGTACATAAAATGATAGAAATAATACAGTCTGCCTGCATTTTTTTTTTTTTAACTTTAACGTCCCCGGTGATTTCGTAGTTTGATTTTGTTTTATAACCGTATGCTTCAAATAGGAGCAGTGTTCTCTTATTTTCTTCAGACTAAATTTGGGTTGCACATTATAATATTTTCACACGTTAACAAATAGTATGGTACGAGAACACTTTCGTCGATATGATAATGTGCATAGAAAGACCATAAATTTAGGAAAACAATTTTTCTTAAACATAATAAAATGCATGAATTGATCATCTTCACGATTACACATATTTGGAAATGTAAAACCAAAAACTTATTGCACACACTATAATAACAGGAAAATACAACAAAAATTCAAAGGATGATTGTCACATCCCGGCCCGGGGCGGATCACTTCCCGGGCCCGCTTCCACTACCGTAGCACGATATTGTCCGCTTTGGGTTTACCATTCCCTCACGGTTTTGTTTTTGGGAACTCACGAGCAACTTCCCAGAGGGTCACCCATCCTGGGAGTGCTCTAGCCCTCTTCTCGCTTAACTTCGGAGTTCCTACGGAACCCGAAGCCAGTGAGCTCCCAAAAGGCCTCGTGCTAGGTAGAGATGGAATATACATATAAGGATCAGTCCCCTGGGCGATGTGGGATGTTACAATCCACCCCCTTAGGGGCCCGACGTCCTCGTCGGCACATACGCGACCAGGGTTAGGCTCTGATACCAATGTCTCATCCCGGCCCGGGGCGGATCACTTCCCGGGCCCGCTTCCACTACCGTAGCACGATATTGTCCGCTTTGGGTTTACCATTCCCTCACGGTTTTGTTTTTGGGAACTCACGAGCAACTTCCCAGAGGGTCACCCATCCTGGGAGTGCTCTAACCCTCTTCTCGCTTAACTTCGGAGTTCCTACGGAACCCGAAGCCAGTGAGCTCCCAAAAGGTCTCGTGCTAGGTAGAGATGGAATATACATATAAGGATCAGTCCCCTGGGCGATGTGGGATGTTACAACCCGGCCCAGGGCGGATCACTTCCCGGGCCCGCTTCCACTACCGTAGCACGATATTGTCCGCTTTGGGTTTACCATTCCCTCACGGTTTTGTTTTTGGGAACTCACGAGCAACTTCCCAGAGGGTCACCCATCCTGGGAGTGCTCTAGCCCTCTTCTCGCTTAACTTCGGAGTTCCTACGGAACCCGAAGCCAGTGAGCTCCCAAAAGGCCTCGTGCTAGGTAGAGATGGAATATACATATAAGCATCAGTCCCCTGGGCGATGTGGGATGTTACAATCCACCCCCCTTAGGAGCCCGACGTCCTCGTCGGCACATACGCGACCAGGGTTAGGCTCTGATACCAAATTGTCACATCCCAGCCCGGGTGGGACGACTTCCCGGGCCCGCTTCCACTACCGTAGCACGATATTGTCCGCTTTGGGTTTACCATTCCCTCACGGTTTTGTTTTTGGGAACTCACGAGCAACTTCCCAGAGGGTCACCCATCCTGGGAGTGCTTTAGCCCTCTTCTCGCTTAACTTCGGAGTTCCTACGGAACCCGAAGCCAGTGAGCTCCCAAAAGGCCTCGTGCTAGGTAGAGATGGAATATACATATAAGGATCAGTCCCCTGGGCGATGTGGGATGTTACAATGATACATGCATTCACATTACCAATGGGGATGGATAGGAATCGTTGTTTTCTCTCTTAAATTTTCTTATTTGGGTAGATTATTGTTTTGGACTCTATGGAAATCTTCAATGGAGAGGGATTCAAAAACTAAAAAATTGTCTGATTTGTGCAAAAGTTCAACTACAATGGAAGGTTGGGCTATAATTTTGTGAAACCCACCAAACCATTATTTGGCCGAAAGAGCTGGCTGGCTAAGGGCTAGTTTGGTATTGTTGTGCTTTAAAAAAAAACTGCTTCTGCTGTGCTGTGAGAATAAGCAGCAGAATGCTTGGTAAACTTTTCTATAAAAGTGCTTTTGTTATAAAAAAAAAAAAAAAAAAAAAAAGCAATATTATAATGTTTGATAAACTTTTATGTAAAACAAATGTGAAAAAAACTGGTTTTTTAAAGCTGGGTTTTGCAGCTTTGTGTTTTTGGTTTTTTTTCACCCAAAACTGTGAAAAAAAAAGTTGAAGTTGAATGTTTACCAAACATAAAAAAGCTCCCAGTTTTTTTTGATAGCCATTTTTTTCAGAATCACCTCAGTACCAAATTAGGGCTAAGTCCAGCCTCCCTCCCAACCCGTCTTCTAGGGCCCAACTCATCTGCTTCAATAAATTATTCAAATTCAATGGCTAAATTTCAAAGCATCCAACGGCTAGGCTTGGAACAACAGAGTAGAGGTCATGAACATGTGAGTTATTTGGCTTCAATTAAATATAACTCGTCTGGATACTTTCTTTACCTACAAATTGAATTAGTCTCCTAGCATAATTTGATTTGGAAAGACCAAGGCCGAAGACCTACCTACCAGAGACAGTAATTTGATATTTATTTTTCTCATTTTGTTTCATTTGCTTTCAAAGTAGCAATATCGTACTATACACTAAGAGTTGATTTTTATTGGAATTAACTAATAAATTTAAAGGTAATAAATTATTGAGGGGTTATATATTGTCCATTTTGTTGGCGATGGTATATGAATATGGCCTAACAGTTTTACAATATTTATTTAAAAATAATTTATTGCAAGACTATAATTCAGAACGAGACTATATTTAGTCTCCCCGGTTAGAGGTTACCTAAGAATAAGTTAAATAGCCCTTAATTCTATATAGTCTAGGCCTCTAGGGCCTCCTCCTTTGGTTTAGAGGATTAGATTGTAATTAACAACCCACTATATTCATGGTATCTTGAAAGAATACACAAAAAATTGTCCAACTTGAAAATGGAAGATGAAGTACTAAATAAGAAAACTTATTCTTTCAATATAACTTGAATACGGAGGGTTAAAACTCTGTGAATTTAACTCGAAACTCAAATCGAGTCGGAAGGACCATGAAAATCCTCTTGTTCTTGATTGTGATAAAATAAAAAGAGTGGGTTTTACAATCTTGATCTCGTTGAACTAGTTCTGCAATCAACTAGTTTTTTGCAAACACAAGATGCACAGCTACAATTAAAAGTTGAATTAACCACTCCATGCCTATACGTGTTCCTTGAGTTGTTTAACTCCTCGCTAGGCCATCTCTAAATCTCTAATACCACAGGGACGGTAGAACTGTTAACATCTTGTTGGGAGGAGGCAATGTTAACATTTTTTCTCTTGGAATTTTTAGTGTTGGGTAAAATTGCCAAGGCCCAAAAACATGTGACTCGTCTTCCCTTTTCTGCAGCCCAATGTTAGTGGGTACTATGACAGAATGGTTGCACGTTTCTAAGAGATTTTTCAGCCGAAAGGAGTTTTCAATTATTTTAAAATCTATTAAAATATAATTCGACTTTTGAAAAATGTAGATTTTTTTTTTCAATACCGCATTTAATAATGACAAAATTGCATAAATTAGCTAGACGTAAAGGTAATTTATCTTATTAATTAGTAAAAACGTAATACTAGAATCTACAGGAATAGATTTTTTTAACTTTATATATATGAGTTTCATTTAAACGGCTTGCATCGCTGATTTGTCTAATTTTCCTATTTTGTCCTTAGAATAAAGTCGGTAAGTCATATCTTTGCTCCTACTTATACCTTATCATGTGGGGGCATTAAGAGCAATAAAGTTGGCTTAGAAGTAGAGAGATCTGACTAAGAAAACACATCAGTCATGACTAGGAAGAAGATGAGACTCGCTTGGATAGTGAATGATAGAGCAAAAAAAACCACATTACAATAGAGAAAGGCAAGCTTGTTGAAGAAAATGAGTGAGCTCACCATCTTGTGTGCTGGTAATGGCTTTACCATTGTTTACGGCACAGACAACGACGAGCTGACTGCATGGCCATCAGACCCAATTGTGGAAGAAAAGCTCGCAAGATTCTAGAAACTAGATCGATACAAGAAGATTACAAATCAAAGGCTTACCTTAAGGACAGGGCTCGCCTTTGACTGCCCTCTTCTGAAGGTAAGTTTCGTGGTTTGTCATCTTCTTTTTCTGCTCCACTTCTGGTATTTCAAAGAATCTTGCAATCAGTTCTTCCACACCGTTGGCTCGTTGTTGTCTTGGTCCAGAAGGTGGTTAGCTCCCCCATTTTCCTTCCCAAGTTTGCCTTCCTCTTTCTAAAGTAAGCTTTCCTAGCCCTATCATTTTCTACCATGCACGTTTCACCTTCTTCTTAGTCATGGTTGACGTTAATGTTTTCTAGTTGGTATGACTATTTTTTCTCTAGGCTTAAACTCTATCATGCTCTAAAACATACCCAGCCTAGGGGTATTTATATATTTCGGATTATAGAGATAAGACTTACTGTTTTTTTTTCTTTTTTTTTAGAAGAAACGATAGCGGTTTTATTTAAAATATTAAGAATGCATACAATCATGCATCAAGGAGAGCATCCAGAAGTAAATTCGTAAGCTCCTCAAACTAGCAACTTGTAAAATTAGACAAAA